GGCGGATTTGCCTTGATATTGAGTTCTGTCAGTTGAAAAATGGCTATAGCTCACTAACGAGCTCGAGCACGCCAAACTTTTTTTCCAGTCATTTTAACTGATCAACTTAGAATGCGTTCTTGTAATAAGCATTAAATAACGCTAAAATGGGACATTTTCAATGCCTCACTGCTCTTTAACGAGCATGGGCACCTCCCCCCCTTTTTATTTCATAATTTAAGTTCTCATATGATAAATATTCATTGAACAAAGTATGAACAAAAATCTATGTTCAATTTTATTTCAGGGGAATAACCTTAGGAGTAGCCTCCCCTGTTATAGACCATGGATCAATGCCCCTCAAACCGTATCAGTGCCAAACCAGGTCGTGCATCGAGTGTGCGCTTATAACGAAATGTAAAAAAGTCTTCGGTCGTTATCTTATTACAGAAAAAGGTTTTAAAAAGTCCAAACGCGAGAATCTTTCCACCACGCCGCATTCCAGTGTTCTACTCCCCTTCGTCAATTCTTTTGTCTTCCACAATTCCGCTGTGCGTAAAGATTTGAGGCCCTTAAAAACGTTTGCCTTTTTACGTCAATGAATCGTGGTATATTATGCACAGCAATGTATAAATTTCAATCTGTCTCGAATGTGCGGGTATTTGTTTTGTCGTAATATACATTACACACCACTGACCATGAATGCAAGGAGAAGGACTGCAGTCATCATAGTCAGTGTCACAGTTGCTTCCAACATATCCAGGATCACAGATGCATGTGTACTTGTTACGTCCATCAATACACCGACCTTGTAGTAAGTAAAAGTATTATAACAGTAAATCAAGTTATACCTCTATGTTGAATTCTAGATAATATTCGATTTTATCACTAAACTAGAAAGAAGAACCAAACAGTGGCAGAGGGGAAGATCTCGAGGTTATTGCGCTGGAATTGTAATCTACAGAGCGAAAGAGGAGAACAGTTTCAAAAGTTTACAGGTTTAGGAAAATGAAGGACGACGAATGAGTCGCCGATAAGCCCTAATACCATTACCTACAGCTGGAGGAAAGAAATAATAAAACACAACAAAAAAAGTGCAAAAAAAGAGTAAATCCCCTTTTCTAGATAAAAATGAGTTCGATTCCTTTTTTGACTTTTCTCCACTTTTGCACGCGACGACTTTCCTTGAAAGTTACGAAATATGCCTGCGGTTATGAACTGTGTCAGTGTGACATGCGTGTAACGTAACTTTCTGACGATTATCGAAGAACAAGGACGTCACCGCGAAAATAACAGAATATTGCTTCTCTAACAGTCACTTAAAATACCTCGAAAGCATGGATATGATTGGCACTCATCGATGTCAGTCTCGCAATCGCTTCCGGTATATCCAGGTATACACTGGCATTCGTAATACCCTGATCCCCTGGGCTCGTTTGGATGAGGCACACAGCTTCCATTGTTCTGACACTGACAGACAGCCAAGGATACGGTGATATTAACATATGATGTAGCTCCGCATGCATCCGTGGCTTTGATGAAGAACTGTGTTTTTGCATCATTAGTAACGTTCCATATTAGCACGTTATCACGTACTTCAGCCTCGCTTGGGCTTCCGTCCATTAGTGAAACCGTGACAGGCATGCCCTCCGGGTCTTCGAAGTCAACAGGCAACTCAAGGGTCTCTTGAAACACTGCGAAGTACTGGGTAGTTGATGGAAACGTAGGTGGAAGGTTAACTAAAGGGACGAAACAATAAAATAGTATAAGGGACAAGCTAACATTAAGACTCCAAAATAGCTTTCTTTAAACGTTTTTTGCTGGGAATAGAATAAGTAAACAAATATTAGTATACAAGTAACACGAAAACTATTTCTAAGAATATAGTAAAGGTTGTTTCTGATAAGATTACCTTGTCGTTTTGTCCACGAATTTGTGCTCACATCTGGAAGGCATTGGTAACACCAATCAATTGGATTTGTCTCGTTTGGGGCGAAGCAATAACGATTAATGAAGCAAGAGTTGTTCTAATATGTAGAAGTACCAAACGAAAAGAATATAA